GGGCGGCCCCGGCGCCGGCTGCCGCTGCAGCAGCTGCACGATGGAGCCGATGTCGGCGGCCATGCGGCTCTCCAGCCTGCGCGGGCAGAGGCGGAGGTGGCCGGGGCTGCTCGCGCAGCCCCCAGCGCGCTCCCTGGCACGGGGTGCTCCCCAGCGCTGCATGCGCCTCAGGGTGCTCCTGGCACGGCGCACTCCCCAGCACGGCACACTCCCTGGCAGGGTACAACCCCTGGCACAATGCACTCCTCGGTGTGCTCCCTGGCACTGCGGGCTGCCCAACACAGTCCCAGCACTGCGCACTCCCCAGTGCAGTCCCTGGCATGCTCCTTGGCACGGTGCATTCCCCAGCACACTCCCTGGCACTGTACGCTCTCCAGTGCGCTCCCTGGCATGCTCCCTAGAACAACTCGCTCCCCAGTGCGCTCCCTGGCACTGCATGCTCTCTAACGCGCTCCCCAGCACTGCGTGCTCCTCAGTGCACTCCCTGGCACTGCATGCTCCTCTGTGCTCTCCCTGGCACTGCATACTCCCCAGTGCACTCCTTGGCACCGTGTGCTCCCCAGTGCACTCCCTGGCACGCTCCCTGGCACTGCGTGCTCTCCAGTGCTCTCTCCAGCACCGTGTGCTCCCCAGCGCGCTCCCTGGCACTGCATGTTGCCCAACGCAGTCCCCAAAACTGTGCACTCCCCAGTGCAAGCCCTGGCAGGGTGCATTCCCCAACACACTCCCTGGCATTGCGTGCTCTCCAACGTGCTCCCCAGCACTGTGCACTCCCCAGCACGGCACGCTCCCTGGCATGACATGCTCCCCAACATGCTCCCCGGCACGACGTGCTCCCCGGCACACGCTGACACGCTGCCCGGTGCGCGGCAGCGCGGCGGTACCTGGTGAGCTGGCGGTGCAGCAGGTCCAGACGGGCCTCGAGCTCGGCGCGCTGCCGGCGGCTGGCGGGGGCCGGGGGGGTGCCCAGCACCGCGTGCGCCGGCACCGTGCAGCGCGGCAGCTCCTGGTACTGCCGCCCCCGGCTCTCCCCCCAGAAGCTGAAGATGTTGGACACCCCCGAGAAGGCTCCTGCGCCGGGGGCAGCGCTCAGAGCCCAACGGGGAGTGGGGATGTGGGGCTGGGGAGCAACCAACCCCAGGTGGTGCCCGTGTCCCCAGACCTGTCACCATCCCCATCCTGGTGCCCAGCCCTGTGCCAGTGCCAATGGCAGCCTCCACCCCCATGCCCATGCTGGTGCCCGTCTCCATGCCACTGCTCCTCCCTGTCCCATTCCCATACCCCTCTCAGTGTCCGTCCCCACACACATTGCTGGTGCCCGTTCCCATGGCCATTCCTGTCCCTAAGGCCATCTTCATGCTTGTGGCCCCTGTGCCCTTTCCCATGCCCATCCCTGTTCCTGTGCCCATCTGTGTGCTTGTGGTCCATGTCCATCCCTGCACCCATCTCTGTCCCCGTGCCCATCTGCATGCAGTGGTCCCTGTGCCCATTCCCATCCTCATGCCCATGCCCATCCCTGTGTCCATCCCCCATTCCTGTGCCCATCTGCATGCACTGGTCCCTGTGCCCATTCCCATGCCCATTTCCATGCCCATCCTTGTGTCCACCCACCCTGTCCCTGTGCCCATCTGCATGCAGTGGTCCCTGTGCCCATTCCCATTCCCATGCCCACGCCCATTCCTGTCCCTGTGCCCAGCTGCTTGTGGTCCATGTCCGTGCCATGCAGCGCCCATTGCATCTCTATGCTAGCGCCCATCCACATCCCTGTGCCCATGCCATGCAGTGCCTACTGCATGTCCATGCATGCATGGCATTGCATGTCAGGTGTGCACGCCAGTGCTGGTGCCGGAGCAGCGCGCGCCCACCTGAGAGGGGGTTGCACATGTCGCTGCCCTTGTGCTCGTCGGGCTCGGCGGGGGCGGGCGCCGCGCCGCCGGGGCGGGCGCTGCGGAAGGGCGAGAGCGCGGCGGCGGCGCCGGGGCCGCCCGCGGGCCGCTCGTCCTCGTCGCTGGAGGCCGAGCTGGAGGCCGAGCTGGAGCGGCACGGCGCCCACTCGGCCGGCCCGCGCGGCGCCCCCGGCGCCTGCGCCAGCCGCGCGGCCCGCGGCCCCGCGCGCGCCTCCCCGGCGCCCTCGGCGTCTGCGGGGGGACACGGCGCTGCGTGAGGGCGCTGCGCCCGCGAGCCGCGCCGCCGCGGCCGCGCCGCCGCTCACCCTTGTCGGTGCGCCGGCGGAAGGAGAGCTTGCGCCGCCGCAGCCGGCTGAAGCCGCCGTCCAGCTCGTCGCTGCCCGGCGAGCCGGGGATCATGTTGGTCTGCAAGGCGGAGGGCCGGGCTGGGGGCGCGGGGGGGCGCGGGCACCGCGGTCCCCCCCATCCCCGCGCCCCGCGGCGCTCACGTCGCGCAGGTTGAAGGTGATCTCCAGGCTGGACCAGAAGTGGTCGGAGAACTCGGGGTACATGTCGAGCACCTCGAGCAGGTCCTCGCGGTGGATCTTGTGCAGGTCGCAGTAGGTGAGCGCCCGCACGTCGGCGTTGGACTTGCCGGGCCGYGCGTACAGGTTCAGCGGCTCCCCGAAGATGTCGTTCTTCCCTTGGGGGGGACACGGGGTGGGGGGTGAGGCCGCGGTCCCCCCGGCACCGTGGCCGCCGCCGGCGCGCRCCGCTCACCCAGGATGGCCACGACGACGTCGCCGCGCAGGATCTCGATGGAGCCGCGCGAGATGAAGTAGAGCGCGGTGAGCACGTCACCCGCGTGCACCAGCGTGTCGCCCGGCGGCGCGTGCGTCGTCTTGAACTTCATGGCCAGGGCGCGCAGGCACCCTTTGGTGGCGCCCTTGAAGGGCTTGCAGTTCTGCAGCAGGCTGCGGTTGAGGTGCAGGCAGATGTCGGCCTGCAGGCACTCGGGGAAGCCCTTGAGCACCTGCGGAGCGGCGCGAGGTGAGCGCGGCACGGTGCACTGCGGCGCATCGCGGCAGGGCGCATCGCGGCCCGGCGCGGCGCGCTCACCGCGTTCATGTCGATGCCGTTGGTGTAGGACCAGGCGTGCTGGAAATACTCCTCGAGGCGCTGGCGCAGCGGGTTGGGGATCTGGTGGAAGCGGATGAACTCGCGCACGCGCAGCATCTGCGTGTGGTAGCGCGCCGTGCCCGAGTAGAGGCGCTGGATGATGGCCGAGACGTTGCCGAAGATGCTGGCGTACATGAGCGCTGCGGGGGAGCACGCGTGAGCACCCCACCCCTGGGTGCTCAGGGGGCACGGGGGGGCCCCGTGCACCCCCGAGCTTGCACGCATGCAGCTGCAGCTCTTGTGCACAAACGGAGTTAGCTCTGCTCCCGCTGCGCCGCGCACGCGGGCTCCCCTCGCGCACATGCCTGCTTGCACGCGCATGTGCGTGCTTGCACACACACGTGTGCTGCACGCTGCTGCTCACACATACGTTCACACATGCATGTTCGCGGCGCACATGCATGCACATGCGTGCTCTTCTGCAAACATGCATGTCCATGCACACATGCGCGCTGTACGCAGGCGAGCGCACGTGCTCACACACCTTTGCTCGCACATGCACACACCCACACACATACTGCACATACACACTCATGCGTTCCTGTACACTCACACATGTGCACACATGTGCATGCGTGCTCACACACAGGTGTATGCTCATCCATACATGCTCTCACATACGTGCTCACGCACACACGCATGCTGCACACAGGTGCACGCCCACACACATGCTTGCACACCTGCATTCTCACTTGCATGCTCACACCCAGGCTCTCTGTTCAGCCATCCTCAAGCGCAGCTGCACATACACAGACACGCATGCCCATACACACATGTGCATGCTGCACATACATGGACATGCATGCTCTCGCACATGTACATGCTCATCCATGCATGCTCAGAGCCATGCATGCTCTCCTGCACACTTGCATCCTCCCACATGCACTCACATGCATGTTCACACACACGTGCATGCTCACACATACATGTGCATGCTCACACACAATGTGCATGCTCACACATACACACACATGTTCACATACACACATGTGCCTGCCCACACACGTGCATGCTCACACACACAAGCCTGAACCTCACACACATGTGCGTGCTCACACACATGTGCGTGCTCACACACAGAAGCACCCTCACACACACATGTGCATGCTCAAACACACCTATATACATGCTCTCACACACACGTGCATGCTTACACACATACATGCATGCTCGCACACAAACGTGCATGTTCACAGGTGTCTGCTCACACATGTGCATGCTCACACACACATGTGCATGCTCACACACATGTGCATACTCACACACACATGCACACCTGTGCATGCTCACACACAAGTGCACGCTCTCATATACACATGCATGCTCACACACGCGCATGCTCTCACACATGCATGCTCACACACACGCATGCTCACACACATGTGCATGCTCACACACAAGTGCACGCTCTCATATACACATGCATGCTCACACACGCGCATGCTCTCACACATGCATGCTCACACACACGCATGCTCACACACATGTGCATGCTCACACACATGTGCATGCTCTCACACACGCATGCTCACACACACGTGCATGCACACACACGTGCATGCTCACACACACGCATGCTCACACACATGCATGCTCACACACATGTGCATGCTCACACACACACACTCCCCTCACACACATGCATGCTCTCTCACACACACATTCATGCTCTCACACACATGTGCATACTCACACACACATGCACACACGTGCATGCTCACACACACGTGCGTGCTCTCATACACACATGCTCTCACATACACATGCATGCTTGCACACGTGCATGCTCACACGCATGCATGCTGTCACACGCATGCATGCTCACACACACGCATGCTCACACACACGCATGCTCACACACATGCATGCACACACACATGCCCCTCACACACATGCATGCTCTCTCACACACAAACATGCTCTCACACACACATGCATGCTCTCACACATGCATGCTCTCACACATGCATGCTCACACACACATGCACCCTCTTTCTCTCTCTCTCACACACACACACGTGCATGCACACACACACGTGCATGCCCTCACACACACGCATGCATGCTCTCTCACACACACGCATGCTCACACACAGGTGCATGCTCACACACATGCATGCATGCTCTCTCTCACACACACACACACATGCATGCTCTCACACACACACGTGCATGCCCACACACATGCATGCATGCTCTCACACAGACATCTGCATGCTCACACACACGCATGCATGCTCTCACACACATGCATGCTCAGACACACACGTGCATGCCCCCCCACACACACACGCATGCTCACACACATATGCATGCATGCTCTCACACACGTGCATGCTCTCACACACATGCATGCTCTCACACACACGTGCATGCTCTCACACACGCATGCACGCTCACACACACACGCATGCTCTCACACACACACGTGCATGCCCACACACATGCATGCATGCTCTCACACAGACATCTGCATGCTCTCACACACGCATGCATGCTCTCACACACACATGCATGCTCACACACACGTGCATGCTCACACACACAGGTGCATGCTCACACACATGCATGCATGCTCTCACACAGACATCTGCATGCTCACACACACGCATGCATGCTCTCACACACATGCATGCTCTCACACACACACGCATGCTCTCGCACACACATGCATGCTCACACACACACGCATGCATGCTCTCACACACACACGCATGCTCTCACACACACATGCATGCTCACACACACACACACGCATGCATGCTCTCACACACACACGTGCATGTCCCCACACACGCACACGCATGCTCACACACATATGCATGCATGCTCTCAC